TTCCAATCACATCAAGCATCTCACGAAAATTACCTTTGTTAGCTGAATCCTGTTTCTCACTGTGACTGCGCTGTGCGATTCCCTGACAAGCTGTGTAGCGCAAACTTTCTACAACACCCATCATGTACCTCCGGTTCTCCTGAACCAATGCAGAATGTCCTTTGTCGAGCATGTTGGGGAGTTTTGATCCACTCGTTTGTTTAAACTTGAATTCACTCCACGCTTCCATTGCAAATTTGTGTCCGGCGCTTTCATGATGGCTCTTCAATGACGCTGCTGCTTTCCGCCAGTTGTTAAAGCCGAGCGCGGTAAATGCTGGCTCAAGATGGAACCTGTGTCCTCCTTTTAGAAAATGCCGACAAGCAAAACAAAACACGGCATCTTTACTCACGCTGTATTCTAACCACAAATATTGATCGAGCCAGCCTTTACTAAAACTTCTCTGTTGCACTCCAAACAAGCGTGATGGGTATTTTTGCAGAAGTGGTCGTCTTGGTCCATCTTGAGGACTTCTGCTTAGATCTTCTAGCTGTCCAGTGCTAACACTGTTAGCATTCTCAGCAGCAGTGGAAGGATAACTGCACAGTTTATCTTCTTCATCCAGATTAATATTTCTTTGTTGGTCGGACTCTGCTTCCAAAAATGCATCCTTCTCAAATTCCATCCGTGGAACTTTTGGTTGCAAAAAACGATCCATATTTGCGCAGCGTGTTCCTCTCAATTGCTTCCCGGAAGTAATAATACGCAAAGTTCAAATCAGGTTGAATTATTTTTTTTATTTTTATTTTTTACTGAAATTAGAATGGTTGATTCTTTTTATATATATTTGTCTTTAGAAGAAAATGCCACAACTACATATTTAAAATATTAAATTAGATGAAGAAAAAAATCTAAATATTTCCTGGGGGTGCTATGGAGGTGCTATAACTTTTCTAGGGGTAGCTATAGCGCCCCCTAGCGTCCCCCTGGCGCCGCCACTGCCCCACACTAACCAGATAGGCATTGGTCACACTGATTTTCTTGGAGATGATAGAGCTATGTTTATAATGATACATTTGTTGTACCTGGTGTTTGAAAGCCAAAGTCTTTGAAACATTTTTAAAGTTGCACATAACGTGTGCAAGTCTTTTGAACGGATTGTGCTTTGCTTCAAATCGCATGCACCAAAGTTTAGATAGAGGTCCAAAACGAACCATTATCCGTGGATAATGTATCATGAAATGATGTTTCGGTGTGAGATTTCTCTCATACAGCTGCTTGAAAAGAGTATGATGCTCCATTATCAGTTGTTTTAGAAAGACAGCAAGCCCTTTCGTAACAACTGGTGCAAAAATAATGCTGCAGATCTCACTTAATAAAACTAATAATTTCCAATGTTGACTCTTTCTGTTTACAAGATCTCCAAGTAAAAAAGGCAAGGCGAGTAAAAGGCACCACATTTGTGAAGCCGTCTGTTTTACAGGATTCTCACCAGTTCGCAAGTTCAATATGACACTTGGCTTATTTTTGACATTTCCACTTCCATAGTGAAAACAAGAAATTCTGTCATTCAGTTCTTCCAATGTAATCAACTTTTCTACATAAATGAGATGTTGCAGCATTAGTTTAACCTCTAGGGGAGCTACACCTTCAAGAACATCATGCATAACATCAACACTTGAGTTTTCTGTGACGTGAAAATATTGTAGCTTATTCAAGCTAGAGTCTTCTTTCACACCTGTTTTGCTAGACTCATTTAGTCCAACATGGTGCTGGTAATTTTGTTTTGTACGCAGCTCCACTTCATCTTCATCATATATCACCTGTGCATCTGCTTTGTCAATCATGCAAAAGTGACAAAATTTATTAGCAGAAAAACTCTCCAGATAACCACCAAGCGTATGCAGTGCAAGGTTATCTGCTGTTAACAAGCAGACTGTACCATACAGATGATGGTTTTGTCCTTTTAATTTTAATGTTATACCAACATCTTCAAGAAGTTTCAGGTCCTCCACAAGTGGCTGCAAAATTTTGTCAAATCCATATACCTCTCTGTCAATTGAGTTGAACAGAAGACACAGATGAATATTGGAAAGTGTTGAATTGCAGCTGGTTGGCAAATTCCTTATGGTAAAATACATAGCTCCAAGCTTATGTATTTTTGTTTTTGAACCCAAGGGGTTTGTTGTCTCCAAGTCATCAAAGTACAGTTGTATTTGCAAAGCATTGGGGGACTTTTGAAACAATGGATGTGCTGAGAAATGTGAGCCATCACAATAGTCACGCAATTTATTGTCTGTGCTCTTGTTTTCTAAAAGGAAGAGGTCTTGCATTTCTTCATGTTCAAATAAAAACATTAAGGTTTCAATTATCGATATGTACTGGCATGTGTCCGCGACTAAAACTTGTTTTATCTGACCGTTTTGTCTTGCTGTATCAGATCTGTGACCTAAAAATATTTCTTTTGGTTTGACAAGTGAAAACTTCTCTGTAAAATATTTGCTCATTTTATATTGTGTGTCAACATCATCAAATATGTTCTTGGCAGTTTCAAACTCTTTCATCAAAGCTTTAGTAGCATCACTGTCACCAGGTACTTGCAAACTACTCAACAAGGTAGTAGTTGACTGCTGCCACTTGTCTACAGTTCTATTAATCAGCTCCTTTGCACAGTTCACACTTTTCAACACATCAGAAAAAGTTACATTTGAAGATGAATACATCTGGGCCACAAAAGACGCTGCACAATTACTGAGGACAATGCAATTTTCTGATTGTGGAGCTACAACCATGCCATCACTGACATTGCATGTATTTAAATGATCAGAAATATAATGAGTTTGTTCCACACTGTTTGAAGCCCCACTTGAGTACAAGGGTTGGACAACAGTCATATTTTTTGTACCTGTCTCAAAATGTGCTCTATGTAGATGCTTAGAAAATGAATTCAAGTTATAATATGTCCTTGGACAATTGTCTTGACCACATATAATTTTTATATTCTGTCCATCTGATAAGCAATGTATTTCACGGAGGTGCCATATGAGGTTTTTCACCTCTTTGAATGAAGTCCCTCTACGTTTTGGACAACTGTACATTTTACTTGCAAGCTTTAAGTTGTGCAATCAGTTCCAGCACTTTTGCCTTTCTTTGTGTGGAGAATGGTAGATCGTAGATGTACTCAAAGAACGTAAAGACAGGGCAGAGTTGTGGTGGATAAGACAAGTTACACACCCAGTAGAGTTTGAAAAGCTTGTCCACAGCACACGTGAGACCATCGTCTAGAGGGATGGTGACTTTGTCGTTCTTTGCAACGATGACATACTGCTTCAATGACCGCAGGTCACCGATGCAGATCAACTGGGGCTGATGATTTGTTTGTGAAGCAGAGGAATCATTGCAAAGCGATGCTATTCTTGTTCCAGGCTTAGAGACAAAAGACCAAAAATAAAACAAAACAAATTTGTTAGTGAAATGATCAGGCACTCTGACAAATTTTATCTTTAACAACAATTTTACCAAGGTTACTACCTACCGGCACAAAATCCAGAAGGTAAGTTATCGTGGTCTTGACGCTACATCGACTTGCACCAACAGGGGGCAGTAGGTGTGTTAACAACACAAGCGTTGTGTAACAAGCCTCATCTGAAAGTGAACAAAAATCAAACCTGTAAAAATGTGTACTTCTGCGGGTCGTTGTAAATACCGGTACACATCGTTCGCCATTTTATAAAATAAGGAATTTACCTTCCTGCGACTTATTCGTGTTTTTTTTTCTAAATTATTGGACATTATGTGGCTATTGTGACTTATACCCCAGTGCGACGTATACGGCAGAAAATACGGTACTTTTGTGTTTATATATAAAAGAAAGAAGTGGGTAAAGGATGGATGGATGGATTCTTTGTTCCTAGATTTTTTATTTTAATTTTAGAAAAAGCCAGACAGCTAAGCTAACCTAATACTGGTAATTTAAGACAGAATTTTATGCACTCCTATATTTGTTCCTGATTTTGGTATAAATATAAAATGATGCAAAAAGATTTTATACAGTAAGGAACTTAAATTATTGTTTTAAATAAATGTTCTATTGTTTACATTTTTGTTTACTCTTTTCATCTTATCAGTTACATAATTTAAACAGCACTTATGACCATTTCAATAGAAAAATCGTTTCTGAACCGAAAATCGATTTTGAATCGAATCGTGACACCAAAAATCTGAATCGAATCGCCAGACACTGAGAGATTCGCACTCCTACTATAAATACCTTCGGTCATGTCTTCAATCCTTTTCAAAAGAGTGCAGAGTCTCGGTTCCATGGCAGCCACAGCTCTGAGTTTTGGCATGATGTTGGCCTCCCATCTACGAAGGAATAGGTCTGCCTTTTCACCTGTGAGCCTTCCAAACTCTGAGTCCAGCTAGAACAAGAAAAAACAAAGAAAAAATCTACAAGTAGAAAATTGTTGGTTCAGTCAAAGTTAGAAGGGAGGAAAAGAAGCAAACCTACCAGACTCGGCATGTCCAGAAATCGTGGATATTCACGCAATATTTCTGCAAGGGTCGGTGATTCCCTCATAATCCATGCTCTGCGCTGGGTGAATGTTTTCTCCATACCAGACTTGATTGCTGAAAGGTTTTCTGAAGAGGGCCGCAACCTTTTGATCAAGGTGACCCACTCATTTGTGTTGTCATTTTCAGTCTCAGTTGCACTGGATATTTGTGCTTCCCCCCGGTCGCTGGTAACTTTTCGTTTCCTGTAGCGTCTTTCATCTTGTTGCAGATTCCGTCGGAGGTTACGCAGTTTAGTCTCTAGGAACCCACTAGGAACCCACTGTGAGATAATGGATCATAGAAATGCTCCTGATAAAGAAAAAAAAATTTTTTCAATCAGTTGAAAACTTTTCAGAAATTATGACGAATTATACAAGGAAATACAAGTGAATCTATTATTTTGGACCCCAATAGAAAACTGATATGTTGTTTCACTTGTTTACTTACAAATCCCTCCCCTTGTCCAGCCACCTGGACAATCAGAGATGGGAAGGTGGCAATGATGCTCTTCGCTAAAGCCAGCTTGTCTCCATTAAGAGGATAACTGGAAAACAAAAACACCACCCATTCTCAGTCATTTATTCAATGTACTCATACAAAGACGGAAGATCACAATTTGCTGCATCAGTTCACAAAGAGACTTTTAAAGTGAAAAATTTTTTTTGCAAAGTGTCAACAAAGAACAATATACTTACAAACCACATCTCTGAACTAGGTCTCCTATGCATGTCTTCACAAGAAGCTTTCTTGACTGAACTGACAGGAAACCTGTGGTCTCATACTCCTTCAGGATCTGTGGTGCTTTCTTTACTAGTAGTGATTGTAAGGACTGACTGTCCTCTACCCTATTAGTATGGGGCTGTAGAGGATAAATAATAGTTATCACTGCAGCATGTTCAACATTTTCACAACAATCGTAAAGAATCTAAGAGCTATACAGAAAAACTGAATGAAGTTTGTGATTAAATTAGAAAACTTTTCAACCAGTAAAATTACAGTACAAATAAATGGCAATGAAACCAATTCACTCTGTAAATGAGCTACTTAAAAAAAATAAATGCTGACTTTAAATCAATATGAGAACAATAAAAAAGATTAATTTGTCCAACTCAAACATTACCTGGTTTTGATTTGTCTCTTCGAGAGAAGCTTCCACTAGGGGCCCTCCAGTTGACAGGAACACATGGAATCTGTCAAAGTCCTTAATTTCCACATTGGTGTCAACATCAATATACTCCAAGAAGTCAGAATTATACTTTAAGATCCTGTCCAACAAACAGCCAGATTGCTGGGCAAGAGTTTGTTCAATGAGATTATTGGTACTTGAAACATGAAGAATTTTTTTAGAAGTCTCTTTTTCATTTTGAAAAGTTGTTACAAGGACTTTGACAGATTCCTGATTGTCAAATGAGAACTGAAAAAGGGAATACACAAAATACAATTAGAATATTTTCATGTAGACCACAGACATGCAAAAAATGCTTCAGTTTGTTGGATTTTAATTTAAACACCATCATAAAAAAATCCACACAACTAAATTAGTTGATTACAGCTGTCTTACGAATAATGTTATACAGAAAATTATTTTTCCTGAACTCCACTACTTAGATTGTGATTCATCAAATTATTTCATGCAAAATAACCTTTTAGTTTGTATAAGTCGATGTGGCCTTCTATGGGCATTTTATTAACAAAAGTGAGCAACAAACTAAATTACTATGTTGTCTTTATGAAAGTCATTATACTTTTTTGTTGAGATACCATGCCTTAAATCCAACGTTTTAGTCAAACAGCTAATGTTTATTGAATTCACTACAGTTAAATCGAGATTAAAAAAGGACAAGTGTTGCGGTTGCTGTTTGTTCCCTGCAGCACCATGTACGGCTCGATGGTATCACTGCACAAACGTTAGCATAAAGCTAACGTGTTGCTATGGTTTTTTTCGCCTGCTGAGTCTTACCGTTCAGCCTAAGGACGCCCGCCATCTTAATTTTTCGACGAATTCACCAAATCACTGAACAACATGACCGTAAGCTGCCGTGTTGTTCAGTGATTTAGCTTCTCCAACTAACACTTGGAGCAGCCGTTAGCTGCTTCAAGCGTTTTTTTTTCCAGACAACCTTTACTTGACTGAAAAAAACCCCCCCGCTGCGTTACTTTAGAGTCTCTTAAAGAGACAGTAGCCTTCAAACTGAGACAAAACAGCGCGAAAATGTAGGGTATTTTCCAGATGATAAAAACTGACGAATTTAATTTAAAGTTAAATTATTTGGTAACAATATATAAACTTAATGTATGACTTCTGGTTTATGAAATTATCAGAAGATAATCTGAATATGAATTGCAGGTGTTTTAGACATCTAAAAAAACGTTTAATCTAAAACTTCAACCATCTCCCTTTAACTTTTAAATAATTTTAAAAAATTACCCTCTTCAATGAACTTTGGACAAAAAAAAGACAACTATAGCAAACCCTACCGATAAAATGGTATTAGAACCTATCGCTGATGAGCTAGCTAACTTTGACATGAAACCCAGCATAATTTTTCAGCTAACTTTGA